ATGCTAATCTATCTTTTAATTAGTATATTTAGAACATTTACACATAATATAATTATTAATATGTTAGGGTTAGTTCTGCCATTCTTTCTTTTTTGCTTTTCTATTTGTTTTCTCTGTTGTTTGTATCTGTTCTCTATTTTATACCTTTCTGTGGGTAACATTTTTTAGAATTCCACTTTAAGTATCTATTGTGTTTTTGAGTGTATGTCTTTATATAGCTTTATCAGTGGTTTATCGAGGTATATATTTTATAAACACACACAACATTATTTTACCAGTTTGAGTGAAATGTAGAAACCTTACCTCCCTTTATGTTCCTCTTTTCTCCTCCATTTATAATACAATTGTCTTAAAATTTTTCTCTACATGTATTTAGAACCACATGAGAAAGTGTTACAAGTTTTGCTTCAACCATAATACAGAATTTAGAAACCTTAAATGAAAAAGGCAGTGTATTGTATATATCCATATTTTTACTCTTTTGGTATTTTCTTACTTCCTGATGATCCAAGACTCCTTCTTTTACTATTTCTCCTGTGTACAGCGAATTTCTTTTAGCCATTCTCTTATAGTAGGTCTGCTGGTGACAAATTCTCTTAGTTTACATTCGTGTGATAATGTCTTGATTTCTGCTTTATTCCTGAAGGATATCTCTCACTGGGTATAGGATTCTGGGTTGACTCAATTTTTTAAATTGAATTTATTGAGGTGAAATTGGTTAATAAAAGTATATAAGTTTCAGGCATATGGTTCTGTAATACATCATCTGTACATAGAAGTGTGTGTTCACTACCCCAAGTCAAGTCTCCTTCCATTACCGTTATCCCCCCTTTACCTTTTTTACCTCCCCCCACCCCACTTTGCTGTTGTCTGTATCTGTGAGTTTTTTGGGGTTTTTTGGTTTTTGCTTAATCCCTTATTTGTTTTTAAAGTTAAATTATAAGAATAAGATAACTGATGTGTCATAGAATTCAAGCTGAAAATCTTGCTTGCAGTACTTTCTTGATTAGTAGATTATTTCCCCCTCCATATTCTGCTAGTAGAATGAGCATTTTGATAGTCTTTTATTGTTATATTTTCACCAAGTCCTGAACTAGGAGAGAGTAAGCAGGAGGAAATTCCAGAGGAGACAGTAGAGGAAGGCACTTTTCCAAGAGAGAGGCAGGAAGAGGAAGACTCGCAAGAGAACCAAGATACGGAAAGTGAAGAACAGCAATTGACCTTGGAGCCTAAGAAAGTTGTGAGGCTTAGCGGAGAACTGAGCCCTGTAAATCAGAGCCTCCTGCAGTCTCAGAGCTCTGGGAGCACTGAGGTAGGTGCTGCAAACTCACGCTCTGACCGGGGCCATTTCCTCTGATCAGCTGTGGATATAAACATAATTCTATATCAACATTAAACATATATTTGTTGAACAATATCATAACCACAGACTGAATGGTATAAAATAGCAACCAAAATCTGAACCGAGCCCATCAGTTGATGCATTTTATTATAAAGGGTTCTTAGGCTATATTGAGGCTGCAAAGGAAGAAAATGCCGAATTGTCGCTGTCTGCCCTGGCAGGTAGGACAGGGAATGGGAGGATTCGTGCCGCATTTTCTACTTCTGGTAAGTAGCTTAGGCATACAAAATACTTTGCTTTGGAGAGAAGAGACCACAGATAGGGAGTTGTTTTAAATATGGCTTTTGCTGTTTTCCAGAGATCTGCTTCCAGAAAAAGTGAGGGGAGTGACTACAAGCTACACTTCAGCTCTTACACCCAAATTTTACAGGCTCCTTCTTGCACAGAATAAGATTTCCCTACCCGTGCCTTTCTGGCAACTGTTTTGAGATTGACAAAGGGAGGCCTTTGTGCTCATAAGTAAATCAAATTCAAAAGACTGATAATATATATTTGAAAAGAGATTCACACATACATTTAGAAAAAAAAGTAGCAATAAAGGAAGTCAATATATATTTGAAAAGAAATTCAGACAGAGTTTCAAAACTAGGCAGATCACACTAAACAAGGAAAACATAGGGGTGGGCAAAAGGAAGTTTACAGTTGTTTGATGGGAAAAGTCATGCAGGTTATGCTGATTATAATAGCTCTGTTAGCTTTTGTGTTTCACAGATGCACAGCTGTCAACCTAGTTTTGCCCACCCCTGCATATACCCGAAAGGAGACTCACTCACATAGGAAAGAGGAGGAAGTTACTGGATTTGTTCAGGAGACCAAAAGGAAATATGACGTCAAATACTCAAAAAGGGGTTAATTGTACATGTCCCAGACAGGCCCTGTATTGGGCAGGGGCTGGTGTAGGAGGCTTGGGCCGAGGATGAACACTATGGTCGCAAAGATTATAAAATCTTTGCTTGTGAGCTCAAAGTGACCAGCATTCTTTTAGAATAATGGGAGTTAGAGTATAAGAAGTAGCACCCCAGTTAATATATCAATTTTTTTAATGTACCCTTTCCCACTGTTTGAAGAATTATTTCAATACCCAGGAAGGAGGTGAAAAACAATTATATATATATATGAAATTCTATGAGAAATACTGGAAAATAGCCACTCTGTGAAAGGGGAAACAGTCCTATGTACCACATAGCCCCTTAAGGTTTCCCTGAATTCTTGCACATTTCAGTAATTACCTTCCATAATAATGACTTGGGGATGAATCGACTTCTTAATTGAGCTTCTGTGCTGTGCTGGCACATGCCAGTGCCTGTGTTAAGGCACATGCGGCAGTAAACAAGATGCGAGTGGGCCTCGTGGGAAAGAAGTAACATATTTGTATTTTGAACTTTGCATTTCCAAAGCAGGGTCACACATACTGTTTCAGTTACTTCTTTAAGCAGGCAAGGAAGAAAATACATTTTAGACAGATTTTTTTTTGGCAGTGAGCTGTACAGTGATCACTTCAGAACCCCTTTCTGTTTATAGGGTTCTTTGACTTACTGACGTCTATAGATTGTTCTTTTTAGTTCTTGTGTGTGTGGAGTTTTGTGGTCTAAACCTGGTAGGGGACTCAAAGTTGGAAAATTTTAGTTTAAGGTAAAAAGTTATAAGCCTAGCAATGTATATCTTAAAGCTTTTGTTTCAGAAACTACAGATAAGGCCCATCCTGGCTCCTGGAAAAACAGCCGACCTCCGGGGGCACTGCTAAAGATTACCACCTGGGGACAAGCGGAGGCATCTAGGCCATTGTGTTTCAGGGAGGGGCACACAACCACCTACCTCTGGGAACAGCTAACCGCCCTGGACAAGAATGTTGCAGTTTCTTCAACCTGACCCTCCCTGAATTTCAAAACCCCTCACTGCACCTTATTTATTTCCTGCTATAAAAACCTTGGCCTGGAAAGATAAGGGAAGATGGTATGTTAGGGTATGAATCCACCATCTTCTCAGATTGTCCACCATCTGAATAAAGCACCCATAAAGATTCAATCACTGTCATTGCTTATTGAGTTCGCTAGTGACAGGCAGCCCGAACTCCAGTCCTGTCCAGTTTCAAAACCCAGTGGTCAGATTACGGTGTCTAGTGTCTAGCTGCTGTCCATGTGTGGTATGTCTTCTTAATCTCATAATGGACAAATTTAAGCAACTGTAGACTGAGACCAGATTCCAGACTTTAAAGAATGCTTATATAAGGTAAACCCATAGAAAAAGAACTGTGAAAGCCTCTTTCATGAGTATGGGAGCTCTGTTGTTCATATGTATTTGTGGCTGCTGATGGCCTTTGGGGCTTAGTGTCTGCTGTCCAGTGTCATTCCAGATAAGGTTGTGATAGCTGAATTCTAGATATTACTTTCCCAATATTCTTGAAAGAAGTTGGAACCACCATGAATATCTCAATTTTATATGTTTAAAACCTAGCTTCATGGTTTTTAAAATAACATTATTAAATATTTACTATGTTCTAAGCACTATACTAAATAACCTGTATGTGACTCATATATTAAGGAATACAATGAGGCAGAAATATTATTGTTTCTACTTTATAGATGAGGAAACTGAGGCCTTAGAGAGGTTATACATATAATTCCAGAAGTGGAATTGCTGGGTCATAAGCAGTTCCATTTTTAATTACTTGAGGAACCTCCATACTGTTTTCCACAGTGGCCGTATCCATTTGCATTCCCACCAACAGTGCACAAGGGTTCCCTTTTCTCTACATCCTCGCCCACACTTGTTTCTTGTTTATTGATGATAGCCATGCTGAGAGATGTGAGATGATATCTCATTGTGGTTTAATTTGCATTTCTCTAATGATTAGTGAAATTGAGCATCTTTTCATATGTTTATATGTCCTCTTTGAAAAAGAGTCTGTTCAGGTCCTTTGTCTAGTTTTTAATTGTTGGGTTTGTTTTTTTTTTGGTGTTAAGTTGTATGAGTTCTTTATAAATTTTAGATACGAACCCCTTATCAGATGTTTCATTGACAAATATGTTCTCCTATTTAGTAGGTTGTCTTTTCATTTTGTTGATGGTCTCCTTTGCTGTACTAAAACCTTTTAGTTTGATGTAGTCCCATTTGTTTATTTTTTCTTGTGTTCCCCTTGCCTGAGGAGACATACAGTATATCTTGTCCACTGAATTGGATAGGGTTGGATTCGTCATCCACTCAGCACGCCTGTGCATGCCTACCTTCAAGAAAACCCTCATAACGTCTCCTTTGGTCACAGTAGTTTTATTGCGCTGAGAGGCCCGATTTTTACCCTGAAATTATCCATGCTCTGTTCCCCTTCACTGATACAAAAAATAAGAAAGTTAATTGTCTAGATTTAACTGCTGTTGTTCACATAATTTCTTTAATCTTTTTATTCTAATGTAATGGGAGTTAAATTCTATGAACATGCACTAACTAGCTATAAGTATAAAAGAGTGATTTGTAGATAAGCCAACTCCAAAAACACGTGAATAATCGCATGCTGATAATCCTGGTTCTGACAGCTGGAACCCAGGTCTCACCAATATTCTTCCAAATTGCGTACATTTCTCTTTTAAAATGTTTGTTTTAGAGTCTAACATCTGGAGAAAAACTGAAATACCAACACCAAGAGGAAATACAACAGCTTCGTCAGAATTTACACCGGCTTCAGACTCTATGCAACTCAGCTGAAAAAGAGCTTCGGTATGAGCGGGGAAAGAACTTGGACTTGAAGCAACATAACAGCTTACTTCAGGATGAAAATGTTAAGGTAGCTCTAGTGGACATATCCTTTATAGAGAAATCTCACTCAATTGGCCATAAAAATTTTTAAACTTTAGCCCTGGCCGGCAGGCTCAGTTGGTTGGAGCATTGTCCTATACACCAAAAGGCTGTGGGTTCGATTCCTGGTCAGGGCACATACACAGGTTACAGGTTCAATCACCCACTCAGGGCATGTAGGGGAGGCAACTGATTGATGTTTGTGTCTCACATCTCTCTCTCTCTCTCTCTCTCTCTTTCTCTCTCTCTCCCTCAAATCAATAAACATATCCTTGGTGAGGATTAAAAAAAAAAGTTCTCAACCTCATAATGCATGACAGTGCCCGTAGATGGGTGGACAACGTGAGCTCTCTGGTTAACGTACTCCCTTAACCTCCCCCTGCCAAGTAAGCACGCAGCTCCATTGTTTCTCTGCTGCTGAAGGGCCACATACGTTGTCAACCTGTACATATGAAAAGTTTTAACGTTACACGGTCTTTTAAAATTATTACCTAAAATTTTAGCACTTATTAAATTTCAATGACCTGAGCCCAAACCCTGGTTATTCTGCCCTCATTCTATCTCTAGACTTATTTATCCCTAATAGGTGTTTCCATTATTATTGGTTGAATCAAATAACTGCAGCAAGGTATAATTCATCAAGGAGGGCAAAGTTGTTCTTTCTAACACAAGAACATCAGACCATGGTTCTATTATTTACCGACCATATTTGAGACTCAGCTTTTTCATCTCTAACATGGGGTAAAATACCAATCTCAGCTGCTTCATGGATATGAAAGCCTAAGCAATATACAATAGTTATAGTAGTATCTGCCTCAGTTCTATATGTCAAATACGGTAGATAATCTATAAGTGATTCTTGAAGAACAGCAGTTAACTTGTATTAGGCATTACCTATTTGGCTGTTTCTATTGTTGATACTTTCATTCCTTTATTTAATGTAGCTTCCCAACTCTTTTATCAGATAAGTAGTTGTCCCCATATTACAGATGAAGGAACTGATACTCAGAGAGTTATTATTAAGTTTTAGATTCACTTGATAAACCCTGAATGGTTGATCCACAGAAATCACAGGTGGAGGAAACTATAGTTATAGTTCCTATTAATTCAGCTGAAAAGCTTGGAGCCCAGGAAATCCTGCTTTGCAAAAGGTAAAGTCAATTCTACCTGAGCATTTTTGTCTGTGAGCCCTGCCTAGTATGTCCATTCACCGTGTTCTAATATTCCTTAGAATGTCATTCATTCATTTATTTGTTCAGTATGTGTTGGTAAATTATCTACGTTAGGCAGTTTGACAGGCCTTGGACACTGAGAAGTGAATAAAATACATGGTCCCTGCTGGGAATTTAGAGTGGGAAAGAAGCATGTAACTAGGTAGTTAAGTATATGTTTAATTTAAATTGTGGTAAGTTCTATGAAGGAAATAAATGTGGTGTGAATAAGTAAGGAGTGAGTAAGAAGATCTCTTCAGATTAAATGAGCATGCAAGTGTTTTCTTCCAAAGTGATGTTTAAGCTAAGACCTGAAGAATGCACAGGAACCAACCATACCATGAGGAGGGAAAAGAGAAAGCATTCCCAGCAGAGCAAAGGGTGGAGTCCGGTGTATTGGAAACCCTAAACAGAAGCCAGCAGGCCTGGAGATCAGTGGAAGAAGCGACAAGATGGTTTTAAAGAGGTCGGCAAGGGCCTGATCATGCAAGGCCAGACAGGCTGCTGGGATTTGTTCCCGGAGTGATGGCAAGCCACTGAAATAGTTAAGGAGGGGAGTCAAGTAGTTCAATTTATGTTTTAAAAAGAACACTTTGGCTGCTGTGCAGAGAACAGATTAGAAGGGAGTGGAAATGGAAATGGCAGGACCAATGTCAGAGCTATGGCTACGGCCAGGGCTAGAGATGATGATGATCTGGACCAGGGCGGTAACACAAGTGGCACAAATGGATTGATGCAAGATCTGCTGTGGAGGCAGAGTGATAGCTTGCGCTGAACTGGCTCATGATGGACAAGGAAAACTCAAGGATAACGCTCAGGTTACTGGCCTGAACAGGAGGGTCAATGGTGACATCATTTACTACAGTCAGGAAGACTGAGAGAAAAACAGTTTTGGAGATGTGGGCAGAAGTTTCACTTTGGTGGTTACTGGGTATAAAGGTGGTGTTTTAAATCATAGGAATGAACCAAGAGAGAGAATAATCCACTCTCAAGGCCTAGTTTAATCCAATAATACTTAGAAGTTGGGTAGCATTAGAACAGTCTACAAAAGAGATCAAGAAGGAGCGGAAGAGAGGCAAGTGAAAATCAGGGGAGTGTGGTACCACAAACTCCGAGACACGAGGAGAACTTTCTGAGAGCGAGGGAGTGAAAGCCCCTAAGAGGTCAACTGTCCAGTGGATTTACTTTGGCAATAGTACTCTGGCAGCTTTATGGAGTGGTGGGAATGAAAGCCAGCTTGAAGTGATAGAAAGAAAGAATGGAAAATGTTTGGCCCATGCATGTATAGAAGCTCAGGAAAATCCCTTCGTCCAGCTGCCATCTGGTGAGACAGACCTTGGCAACCTTACTAACCCAGGGCAGCTCCAGAGAGGAAATCAGCTCTTGGGGTACGGCATTCCTTTGAAAGCTGCTTATTCTGGCTCGCACTGACATCCACTCCCTGCTTAGTGCCATCACTCTTATTTATTCCCCACCTGTAGATCAAAATTGAACTGAAACAGGCCCAGCAGAAGTTATTAGACAGTGCCAGGATGTGCTCTTCACCCCCAGCAGAGTGGAAGCGCTGTCAGCAGAAAATCAAGGAACTGGAGCTGGAAGTACTTACACAGGCTCACAGCATTAAATCACAGAACAACCTGCAGGAAAAGCTGGCTCAGGAGAAATCTAAAGTTGCTGATGCAGAGAAAAAGGTAATTATCCTCACCCGTAATAAGTAATGCACTGAATACCACTATCGAAATCCTGTTTCCCAAAGGACTTTAAGAAATATATATGGTGCAAACTTGATAGACTTTAGGGTTTTTCTTTTTTTTTTTTTTAAGTTTTTTTTTTAATTTATTGATTATGCTATTACATTTGTCCCTTTTCCCCCCCTTCCCTCCCCTCCACCCTGTACCCCCCTCTCCCACCCACATTCCCCCCCCTTTAGTTCACTTCCATGTGCAATTCTTATGAGTTCTTTAGCTTCTACCTTTCCTGTACTATTCTTGCCCTCCCCCTATCTATTTTCAACCTACATTCTATGCTACTTATTCTCTATACCTTTCCCCCCCCTCCCCTCCTCCCACCCCCCTGTTGCTAGCCCTCCATGTGCCCTCCATTTCTGTGGTTCTGTTCCTGTTCTAGTTGTTTACTTAGTTTCTTTTGGTTTTGCTTTAGGTGTAGTTGTTAATAATTGTGAGTTTGCTGTCCTTTTACTATACATGTCTTTTTCTTTATCTTCTTTTCTTAGATAAGTCCCTTTAGCATTTCATAAAATAAGGGCTTGGTGATGATGAACTCCTTTAATTTGACCTTATCTGAAAAGCACTTTATCTTCCCTTCCATTCTAAATGACAGCTTTGCTGGATAGAGCAATCTGGGATGTAGGTCCTTGTCTTTCATGACTTGGAATATTTCTTTCCAGCCCCTTCTTGCCTGTAAGGTCTCTTTGGAGAAATCAGCTGACAGTCTGATGGGAACTCCTTTGTAGGTTACTGTCCCCTTATCTCTTGCTGCTTCTAGGATTCTCTCCTTCGTTTTTACCTTGGCTAATGTAATTATGATGTGCCTTGGTATGTTTCTTCTTGGGTCCAACTTCTTTGGGGCTCTCTGAGCTTCTTGGATTTCTTGGAAGACTGTTTCCTTTGCCAGATTGGGGAAGTTCTCCTTTATTATTTGTTCAAATAACTTTTCCACTTGTTGCTCCTCCCCTTCTGGTACCCCTATAATTCAAATGTTGGAACGTTTAAAGGTGTCCTGGATGTTCCCAAGGCTCTCCTCGATTTTTTTAATTTTTATTTCATCATGTTTTCCTGCTTGGTTGATTCTATCTTCCCTCTGGTCCACTGTATTGTTTTGAGACTCAGATTCCTTCCTTTCTCTATTGGCTCTCCTCCGCGTATCTTCCTGCATCTCTTTTATGGTAACCTGCATCCTTTCATCTAAATTGCGCCCAAAATCAACCAATTCCGTGAGCTTTCTAATCACCAGCGTTTTGAACTGTGCATCTGATAGATTGGCTATTTCTTGGTCGCTCAAAAGGATGAGTCCTGGGGGGACTGATCTGCTCTGTTGCACACATGTCTTATGTCTTTCCCTGTCTCTCTCCTTTTTCCGGTCTGGTCGCTCTTGTTAAGGTGGGGGGCGGAGCCTTAGGTGTTCACCGGGGCTGGGCGCCCCAGTCGCTAGACTGTGACGTTATATGCGGGGGCGGGGGCGGGGGCGGGAGGGACTCAATGGCGGCAGTTCAGTTCTCCTGGGCCCAGACCTTTCTCCGGGCTCCTGGGCTGCGAGCTCTGCCCTGGTCCACAATCGCTGCCCCACTGGGTCCGGCAGCCGCAGCTTGCGTACTCAGGGTCCACCGCTGCGTTCCTGCGCCCGATGGCTGTCGCGCCCGATTCCGCGCCAAATTTCCCCCGACCTCCGTGCGCTGCCGACCCGCGCCAGCCCCGCGCCCGCTCGGCTCGTTGTCTCCTACCAGTCTGGATGTACGGGTCTACTTCAACTTCTTGGCTGTCCGACTTCCATTCAGATGAATCCCCTGTTGGTTCTGGGTGTTATGCTGACTGTATTTTATTGTTGTTCTAATCTTGGTTGTGCGAGGAGGTACGGTGCGTCCACCTATTCCTCCATCTTGCTGGAAGTCCCGACTTTAGGGTTTTTCTTTACTCTCCCAAGCTTGCCTCCCTTTGACTTCACCTGCTCCTTCAATTCCAGCAAATCTTGTGTCTTTTTTTTAAATTGCATGAACTTATAAAGGTGTTTCATTAAAACAATAAGTTAAAACACTGAGACCAAGTGACTTTTGTCTTACACATTCAAATTTTAAAAGGTTTATTTTCCTCTCATGTGGATTGGCGTTTACCTGGTTTTTATTTTGTAATTTTTGGAAGGATCTGTGTTATGAAATGAGCCATTTTGAAATACTGCCCTGCCTTTCAGACTGCCCAGCACCAGGTGGCAGCAGTGTGTAGCAGTTGCACGTTTTGATCTGTAGGTTTATGAGTCAAATTTTATAACAAATAAGTCACTTTAACAAACTATATAAACATACAACTAACATCAAGAAGTAGATGACGGTAATTTGAATTAAACTCAGATGCCTAATGTTGGGGTAAAGAAGCCAGCACAAAAGAGTTCATACTGTGTAATATCATTTGTATGAAGTTTAAGAGTAGACGAAACTATGCTATGGTGATAGGATAATGGTTGTCTCTGTAAGGCCTGGGAGGGGACAGGAGGGAATCTTCTGTGTTGCCAGAAGTATTCTATATCTGGGTCTGGGAGGCGGTAATATAACTAAAATTTTACTGAGGATGCCTAAGGTATGTACACTTTACTGCATGTATGTTATTACTCCATAAAAAAGTAATTGATAAAGATTGGTAAAATTTTAAATTTAGACAGTACTAAATATCAGTGAGGACTTCATGCAACAGGAAACTCATATGCTGACTGCAGGTGGAAGAATGAGTCCATACAAACACTTTGGAAAGCAGTTTGGCATTGGCTTCCAGTGAAGTAACAGATGAAGATACTGTATAACCCAACCCTTCCACTGCGAGGCATAAACTCTAGAAAAACTATTGCACTGCATCTAAGTATCAGGAGTCAGGAATTCTGTCATTCTAATAGTAACATTGTTTAAAAAAGCAGAAAATTGGAAAGAAAACAAATGCCCACTGACATGAGACTGAATAAATAAATTGCATATTTACACAACAGCATACATACAACAGTGAAAATGAATGAATTACAGCTACATGCTGTAGTTCGATTTAATACAGAATAAAAACCAGGTCACCAAAAACACAGTATGATCCATCAATATAAAGGTCAAAATAGGCCCTGGCTGGTGTAGCTCAGTGGATTGAGCACGGGCCTGCACACCCAAGGGTCGCTGGTTCAATTCCTAGTCAGGGCACATGCCTGGGTTGTGGGCCTGGTCCCCAGTAAGGGGTGCACTAGAGGCAACCACACATTGATATTTCTCTCCCTCTCTTTCTCCTTCCCTTTCCCCCTCTCTAAAAATAAATAAATAAAATCTTAAAAAAAATAAAAATACCGGTCAAAATAGTACCAAATAAAAACCATGTCCTATAGAGATATATACTATTAAAAGAAAAAGCAAAGAAACGATTAACACAAAACTCAAGAGACTAGTTTTCTCAGGTGGAGCAGGAAGGGGTATAATTGACAAGGGTCACAGAGTGAACTTCAAAAGCATTGGAAGTGTTCTCTTTCTTAAATTGGGTGATGGGCTCAAAAGTTTGACATATGTCCTTGACAGAGAAGCCAATGGGGGATACTTTCATCTGGGGAATGAAGACTGAATGTCTTTAAGTAAACGTTTACCCTAAGCACAGAGTTAAATGAGGCAACTCAAAGGAACTTGACCTGGCCCTCTGCCATTGCCCTGAATCTTTTTGCACCTTCACCTCTCCTACCGGCATTCGCTGGATGTGAGGAATGTGGGGCCAGTAAATAGAATAGAGGGAGGGAAGCTCTTCTGCCGGAATCCAGTCATTCAACAAATATTTGTTGAACATTTACTATGTACCAGTCACAAATTTAGATAACAGAAAGGCTTATAAAAAAATAAGTAAATAGTTTAAAAGGATATTTATCTAACAAAAAAATTTAACGATACTTTTAATTTAATTTTGTGATTCGTGCAAATTTTTTTTAAAATTCTAGAATAAAGTTACATCTCTTTCTTTCAAATTCATAGATCTTATTTTTGGTGTTACCAGGGTATTAAAGAACCTATTACTGGTGCTAGGCAATCTGCTAACTGCTCCTTAGTTTGTAAGTGACCTTGACTTTGAGATAATCATGAATGTAGTCACACTGTGGAGAAAACGGGGACTCCTCACACACTGCAGTTAGAAGTGTGAACTGGTCTAATACTATGGAGACACTTTGGCCTTATCTATCAAACAAATAATAACTTTTGCTCTGGGAAATCCACACACCTCATAAGTTGTTCTAGAGACATTATTTATAACAGCAAAATATTGGAATTTACCTAAATGTCCCTCAGTAGGAGGCTAGTTAAATAAGTTATGGTATATTCTTACAGTGGAATGGTATACGGCTGTGGAAGAGAAGACAACTGTGTATGTACTTATAATATGGAAAACTGACTGTGTTTTTATTTTAAAAAGCCAGGCATGTAAGTATAATATGCCATCGTTTGTGTAAAAAGTGTCTGTGGGGGGAGAACTATTTAATAATATTTGTTTAAGTATGTATAAATAAATCTCTGAAAGGGTATGTAAGAAACTAATATCAGTGCTCCCCTCTTTGGTGGCAGAAGACAGGTTAGGGGTGGAAAGGGGACTTTTCACTATATAGCTCTGTTTTCACTATACAGCTGTGTGAATGTATTACATATTGCAAAAACTAAATAATTTATTTTTCAAATTAAAATAAATCCAGCCACACTCTTTACTTTAGATCAGATTTGTATGGCAGTGATACTGTGTTTGCTATTGGTGTGGTATTTCCCTAACTGAAGAAGAGGTCAAAAGAGGGGAACATGGGGACAACTGTCATAGCATGATCAATGAAATATAATTTTAAAAATAGGTCATACTTTTCTTATAGTTTTATTTGCAAACTTTTTTCATTCAAGATTTTGGATCTACAGCAGAAATTAGAACATGCTCAAAAAGTCTGTCGCATAGATGCTTGTAGTTTGGAAAAGAAGCAACTCCGGGAGAGGATAAGAGAAGCCGTGGAAAATGAAGCTAAAAGAAAGCAACAATATCAGGAAGAACAACAGAAGCGGTAAGAGGAGCACAGATGTCAGTGTCCCGTGGGCTAACCCTGGCTGAGTTTACCCGCTGTGCGAATTCGCCAGTGCGTTTCCCTCCGTGCCCCCACTGAAGTAAACTCACACGCTTCCTATACACTCACTTATCGCATTATACGCTAATTATTTATTGTCTTGTTTGCCTTTCACACTCGAGTGTGGGATTCATAAGGCAGGGATTATTTCTTGTTGTTTTGGGACACACTTGGTGCCCCGGTAAATTTTCTTGAATGACTGAATCGCTTAGGGAATAGGATACTCTGGGATTTGTTTTTCTAACTCTAACATGATCGGCACAAAGTGCAGGGTAGAATGAAGTTGGTGTTTTGTACTTATCAGCTGATTTTCTTCAGTGAAGTTCCAACTACCTTACAGGCATCTTGGATGCCCTAAACTCCAGTAACTGATGCTTCTTACTTCTATGACACTCAGAGTGACTTATATATATTTTAAGAAAACTGGTTTTAGCCATTGAAAATATATACAGATATCCACATATACTATGAAGCTCAGAAACTTCCTTTCAGCTCCAGTTAAAAGCTCGGGCACAGGGCTTAACATTCAGTAGGTACTCAGGAAATATTTAGTGAATGAAAGAATGTTTGAGTGAGTGAATCAATGAATGTACAAATGAATAATGAATTCACTCAGTGAAGTATAACAGAAAAATAGGTGTCTCACTGTCACTTCTGGCAGGATGGCAAGCTGTCTTCCTGTTACTGTACAAATAGATCCTGAATGAACTACAATAAGTACACCTTTCAAAGCATTGCTCACAAAGCAAGAGAAAGCTCAAAGGGCAAACATACCATGAAGTAAAACCCAAATGAGGAATGGTAAACAAGCTCCTAAGTCAAGTCAAGGGGCAAATAACGACATTGATATCAACCCCTGTGTTCCAGAGAAGAAACTCAGGAAGTTGGCCTCAAGGTAGGAGAGCTGAGCTACTATACTATAGACTCCAGTAATTAGCTGGGAATCTTGAAGGAGCTAAAGTATTTCCAGTAGGCAGTCCCCAAATTAGCTCTGGAGGAAAGCAACCTGAATTTGGACGTTAAGGATTCTCACATGTTAAGTTTAATCAAACACAGGGGTACCTCAGTAGTCCTTGGCTTCCGAACTTGCCAAACCTGGTACTCATCGCATGTTGATGAGCAAAAACGTTTCAGCACTTTGTGTATGCTTGCCACTTGTCGCACTTGCTAGAACTTGTAGGAGTCACGATGCCTGGCAAGAAAAAATGCTTCATCAGTTGTCACTTACTCGCCACTCGTGGCAATGAATTAACAAATACTGAGGTACCGAGATACCGCTATGTACACTGACAATCAAAAATCACCAAATAACACAAGGAAACTGGCTACCATGAATGAAAGTCAGCAGAAACAAGGAACATCAGATTTATAACCTCCAAGAATTTCAGCATTCAGATTAAGGAGAATCATTGTAAGGAAACTGCAAATTTTTTTTTAAAAGATGTAATCAAAGAATTGAACAAGGAAAAGGAATATTTAACTTGCCTGAAGCTTGGTTTCTTCTCTCTGAAGTGGGAATAGTAATACCAGTTCTACACATTTTTTTGTGAAGACTGGCTAAGGAGACACACATAGAAGTAATATTTAAGCAAAGTATAGAAAATGAAATAGGTAGGAAAATTCTTTTCCACAAAAAGGGGACTATTGGTACATACATCATTTTGTAACCTAGACAAAAATAACCCCAACTGAGATATTTAGATTGTAAGCTAATTTTTCACTTAAAATATTATGATCTATTCACCTGCCATTATATCTTTTAGAATATTATTATAATAATATATTATAATTTATTTAATCAGTTCTTTATTGTTGGACATTTACATTTTTCCCCAGCTTCTTGCTATAGCAAACAATGACATAATATATATCCTCGTAGCCAAATTTTTGTGCCTATCTTTTATTATTTCCCTGAAATTCTGGCCTGTAAAATTGTAATTTTAACTGTTCATTATGAATTTTCTTTTTTAAAAAAGATTTTATATATTTTTAGAGAGAGAGGGGAAGGGAGGGGGAATGAGAGGGAGAAAAACATCAATATGAGAGAGAAACATCAATCAACCAATGACGGTTGGTCCCTCTAGTCCACACCCCGACCAGGGAGCAAACCCACAACCCAAGTATGTGCCCTGACAGGGAATCGAACTGGTGACCTTTTGCTCTGTGGGACAGTGCCAACCAACAGAGCCACAATGGTTTGGGCTCATTATAAATTTTCAAACATAACAAATAAAAAGCATAAGTGCTTCAGAATTCTAACCTTCAGCTACATATTTCTCAGATTTTTTCTATGCATATGCATATAGTATTATTATTCTTGTTCTGTTAACAAAAGTTGAATCACTTTAAATATGTTGCTTTGGAATTTGCATTTACCACCTAATAATATACCATGGTTATCTTATTAGCCACTTCGCAGCTGCATAATCTTGGACAAGTTTCTTATCCTCTCAGTGCCTGGCAATACCTACCTCGTAGGGTCACTGAGCAGATAAAATAAATGGTAAGCAGTCGGCTGTGTCAGTGTCTGGCACACAGTGAGTGCGTGAATCAGTCAGGGTTCAGTCAGAGAAATACAACTGCTGGCAGTGATGTCGGCTCTCTGTTCTTGACTTCGTGCAGAGAAGACTTCACAACACAAGTCTAGGTGATTTTGAGAGTACACTTATTAAAGCTGGGGACAGTAAAACAAAGGAAGGGCTTGAGACAGGAGAGGCAAGACCGTAACAACCGGAGTGAGCCTGGGCAGAGCGGCCTGGCCCTTTGGAAGGAGAGCCACAGCGGCAGGAGTGAGCCGGCGGAGCTGGGTGGAGTCAGGAAACAAGTTACGCAGGCAAAATAAGGTCTTCAGAGACAGGTTCAGGGTGTTAGCCCAGGACCAGCTGCTCCCCTGGCTGTAAGTCTCCTGGGAACCTTTAGAGTTTAGGAGAAAGAAAAGCAAAAATAAGTGCAGGCATGCTCCGGGCAGAAGGAGAGGGCGAGGCAGGAGAGGCAGGGAGCAGGAGCCAGAGAGAGCGAGTGAGCACTGGGTCCTTTGCCCGAAGGGATTTTATCAGCTTTCTAAAGGCAGCAATTTTAAGGGAGGTCTTAGAGGAGGATCTACTACAATATTCACCAGCTTTCCTGGTCTGTCCTTTTAATATGCTGATTCATTAAAATGAGCATATTGGTCAGGGTCATGGTCTCTAGTGATTGGCCGACCCTATGGTAGGGGGTCATTAGTCAGTATACCTGGTCCAGATGTCAGCCAGGGCATCACTTATCTGGATTTGCAGCTTTTCTGGCCTGGAGCTGAAACACAGCTGACAACATAAGAGACATTCAGACCTGTAAAGAATTTTTATTAGTTTATTTTAGCCAAAGTGACAATGGTTGCCAGGAAGAAAACCTCAACAAATTGAGAAAATGCTCCAGAAAATGACAGTTTTGCACCTTATTTTATACATAATAATCAAAAGAGGAGGCATAAGGGGGTTACGTGAAATCCATTGATGATAGATTAGGAAGACAGGAGAAAGCAAAGCGGTGGAAACAGATTGGGTAAAAAGTAATGCCAGACACATACTTCTTTTACACAGGTGGGTGTGGGATCGATAACAGTCAACAATTAAGGTGCTAACAATCACAATTAAAATGAGGGGATTTATAGTCTCTGATCTCAAATGGTTGTTCTGCATGGAGGGGTCTGGAAAAGGGAAAAGGGAAGTTAACCTTGACATTCCAGAGGTATGTTATCATAGATGCAAAAAGACAATAGACAGGCTCAGTTAAGATCGACTTTTGTCGGGGAAGTTTCTAGCCTATGGCTACCTGCCATAAACTGCTTTTAGTTTAAAAGTTTTCATTTCAGACCATCCTATGAAGTTACTTCAGGTCTCTGAGTTTGTAAGGCTGTCACACAGGCCTCCCCTGAGCTGGTCAAATTTAGTGTGTGGCCCCTTTTCGTTCTAGGTGTTACCTCTAGTTTGACCAAAGCTGTCTCTGTAGTCACCAGACCCCAGGCTTTGTTCATAAAATTATTTGATGCTGGTGAGAATCTCATCGTCTTGAGGGCTTAACGCTTAAGGACTGGTCTGCCAGGGAGGGGAGGGCAGGTGAGCCAGGGTGCCCGATGACAAGGCCGACTTGACTCAGCTCTCGGTCTCAGTTTCCTCATTCCACTTGCCAGGAACTTTCCTAGCTTCTTATATCCTGCCTCAGAACCACAGGAGGAACATATGTTTAATAAGAAATTTATTACAGGGATTTGATCTTATGCAACTGTGGCAACAGGTTACATAGTCTGTGAAGCTGTCATCTCTGCATTTTATACCGGAGCTGGAAGTTTGCGGGGGAAACAGTCAGGAGGTGAAGTGAGGGAGAGCAGTGGCAGGCTGGAATTCGGGAGTGGCAAAGGACGGCCCGGATCCCGTGTCAGTTCTCACTGCCTCCAACCTTGTTAAAGTGGGTATCCTGCAGAAGCAGCTGGTCTCCCTCAGCGAGGAGCTAAACAGACACCTGGCCCTGGAGACGGAGAAGGTGGAGGAGGACCTTAGGGGAGGTGACGCGGTTGCGGGCCTGCTGTTGCCTCACTCCGAGATGAGCCGCAGATGAGTGGCACCCTGTATGAGCTACAAAAGCACATATTGCAACTTCCCAACAATAAAAAAACAAAGTGCTTCATTCCTGCGCTCCAGGCCTTGCACAGATAATATCTCTTGTAGCCCACTCTAACCAGAAACCTGCACGGACAGAATTCCTAGCCAAGATGTTATTACTGTTGTTATTGCGATATTTGATGTCATTATTGTTACTGTTGTCATTGTCATCACCCTCATCTTCCATGAAGTAAAAAAGTAATTTTTAGTAGAACTAAACATTTGGGGATAAGGGGAGTGGCAAAAAAAAAAAAAAAAGAAAAAAGAAAAGAAAAGAAGCTAGAAAGGTTAGCTAGGCCTGGTCATGATGAGCCTAACTCTTACCAAACAGCAACTGAGTCTTTATTCAAAAGCTTCACAATTTTGAAATAACAGCTTTCCACAAGAATTAAACAAGTCACTTAGGCCTCTCAATTAAGGCTGAATTCTAACACCTGGGTCCTCCTATCATTCCCCTGTTTTTAGTTATCATCTTTCTATAGGGTTAGTTTACAAACTAAAACAACATAAGAAACAAATTTACGCAATTCTGGAAGAATAGCAGGCTTCTGCCTCAGAGCCCGTTCCCTCCGGAACACCCAAAGAATAGGCCTGCCACCCTCTGCCAGGCCAGCCTGATCCTGGGCCGTGCCCGGAGCCCCTTCCCGTCTGAAACACGGTGCGTTGGGGAACACAGGCAGCAGCAGCCCGATCACCCAGCCATCTGGAGAAAGAAGAGCCCGAGAGCCAGAGAGCCTGGAGCCCGAGAGCCAGCCTTCTTTTCATTTCCTTGTGCTCTGGAGGCATTCAGCTTCTCTGCCGGTCCTGTCCTGGACTGCTTACCGTTGCCTTGGCCAACTCCTCCGACGGCCCCTCCCTACTTCTCCCCAGTGATCTGATCAGATAGATCCCTCTGTATCATAACTAGTCACATCAAGGAGTTTGGACATGTTCCTAGAGGAGAATGGTCTGTAGTTTTCCTTTCTGTAATATCCTTATCTAGTTTTGGTATTAGGGTAATGCTGTTTATTACAATTAGTTAGAAAGTGTCCCCTCTTCAATTTTTCTGGAAGAGAGTGTAGGTAATTGGTATCATTTCTTCCTTTAATGTTTGGTAGAATTCACCAGTGAAACCATGTGGGGCCAGTGCTGTATTTTTTGGAAGGTTATTAAATATCGATTCCATTTCTTTAATAGATATAGTCCTGTTCAGATGATCTGTTTCTCCTTGTGTGTGAGTTTAGTAGATTGTGTCTTTCAAGGAATCAGTCCATTTCATCTAAGCTACTAGATTTGTGGGCATGGAGTTGTTAGTAATATGCCTTCGTTGTTCTCTTAATGTCCTGACAGTCAGTGGTGGAGGGGAGCAGAGTTCGCCACCTCAAAATATGCCTCTTTGGAATAATGGTTATTTTATTTAGGCTGATTAATTTTAAGAAACAAGACAAGGGAGAACCTCTGAAAACCAAGTAGAACTTACCCTTTGTAAAAGGACACTTACATTTATTTGTAAGGGTGTTTCTCTCACTGTCAGGAAGAGGAAAATATCTCTAGAAATTGTTATCAATGGACAAAGTGTGGACTTTAATCTGAGTGATAATATGTTTGTTTATTGTACTTTTCCTGGTAACCTCCAATAACTGACTCCCCACCCCCACCATGCTATTTTGTCTTCAGCTGAAGGTAAAGGTGAAGGCTTTTGTCATCCTGGTGAGTTACTCAGTGTTTCTGCATCTCTCCCATGTATACAGGAAGCGTATGTGTTGTTAAACTTTAATTCGTTTTTCCCCTGCTAATCTGTCTCATCTCAGTTTGATTATTAAACCCGCCAGAAGAACCTAGAAGGGTAAAGAAAAATTTTTCTTCACTGACAGTAGTGATGATCCCTCTTTCATTTTGATATTAGTAACTCATGCCTTCTTTTTCGTGGTTAGCCTGGTTAGAGGTTTGTTACTTTTATTGATCTTTTCAAAGAATCAGCTTTATGGTTTCATGGTTCATGGTTATGGTTTCATCAGTTTCATGATTTCTCTATTGTTTTCCTTTTTTTTTAATTTCATGGATTTCTGCTCTAATTTTTATTATTTCTTTTGTTCTGCTTTATTTAGGCTTATATTGGTCTGGTTCTCTAGTTTCCCTAAGGTAGAAGCTTAGAATATTGATTTTCTATCCTTCTTTTATATTATTTGCATTTAGTGCTATAAATTTACCCCAAACACTGTTTTTACTGCATCTCACAAATTGTATGCTATATTTTCATTTTCATTAGTTCCAAATATTTTTTAATTTCTTGAGGCTTCTTCTTTGACAAATAAATTTTTTAGAACTATATTTAATCTCTAAATGTTTTGGGATTTTCCAGCTACCTTTCTGTTACAAATTTATAATTGCATAGTATCCTTTAAAACAATTGTATAGCATCCTGTTACATAGATCTATCATTGTTTATGTAAAATGTTTTTAAGACATTTTTGCTTTATAAATAATGCTATTGTTGTCGAATGGAAAGAGTTCCACCTGGTGCTAGCAGAGCCAAACACTAAACGCAGAGAATTCCAGTAGAAGAGATATTGGCCATTTTATTATAAGTGGCACCACCCCAGAGAATGGGAAGCTAATGCTCAAAAGCTTGAACTCCCCAATGGCATGTAGGTTATAGATTATATAGGGCCAAATTACAAGACACTGTGGATTAGGGGTTCAGGGTCATGTTGGGAGTTCATTGGTAGGAGGCGAAGTGTGGGTAATAAATCATTTCTTCAGGACTGCTCTGGTGTCCCTTTGTCTGGTTTCATGGAAAAGTAGCCAGGAGGTTGTTCCACCTTAGAACTGAGGAGCTGAAACATCATGTATGTCCAGATAGTATCTTTAACTTAACAGAAACCCTGGCTTCTGATTAACTTGTGATTCTTAGTGAAGGCCTGGCCATTGTTCCTGGCTGCCTGGGGGATTACTGACTAGTAAGGGAAAGGGCTAAGGCTTACAGCACGCTGTGAAGAAACTGAATGGAGTGCTTGGGCTACATATTAAATAGAAATCATACATTAAATGAGGACCCTCAGTTTCACTATAAAGATTATTCTTCTATATAAGACTTTGCAACTACAAAGTATGTATGTGTTATACTAAGGGAAGTTTAGGATGCTGTGATAGTACACAGTAAGGATGTCTAATCTGGTCTGTAGAACTCAAGAAAGTCTTCCTCAAAGAAAGCTACTTAAGCTAAGAGTGAAGCTGTTGGGATGGGAAAGCTAAGTAGAGAAAACTAGGCAAAGGAAGGCCTGGGAGAGGAAGACAGGGTAAAAAATGGAATTGCAGAGGAGGAATAACTATGGAAGATGACTTGTTTCAAGAAGTAAAAATAAGTTCATTTTGCCTGGAATAAAATATTTGTGAGTACAGGGGTGGCGAGAAAATGAGGCTAGTAGCTAACAAGCCATATTTAAGAGTTTGAACTTGATCTTAAAAGTAATAGGGAATCACTGAGGATTTTAAGCAGAGGGAATGATATGATTAGGTTGTGATTTAGAGAGAACACTGTTTGCTATGTATGGGATGTATTGAAAGAGAGGTCAAGTCTGTTAGGGGGATAGGGAGCCACATCAATCTACTAAATTTCTAATTTTATTCCCTGGCAGAAACTGGTTTGTTGATCTTTCATTGTTCAAGTTCTACATATAATATAGAAATTAATTTTTAACATATTTATGAGTTGCTTTTTAAATTTTGACTTCCTACTTTTCAACCTTAGTTTCTAACTCCTAAATTTCACTCAAGGTTTTTTAGTTCTAGCAGATTAAAACTTCCCTTTCGGCTACAAGACTTGTCTCTTAGTCTGGTCTTTTGATCAGAAATTCAGACTGATATCAAAAAAGAAGAAATAGTGATACCTCATGTATATAATGAATTAAAAGAAATAAGAGTTGAAGAGGGAGGTGTTGGTGCAGTGGTGGATGTGAATGGTAGAAGGTAAGCCACACACTCCTTGGAAAGCCTGCAGCTAATGTCCACAAACATGCAAAGAACTAGCGGTCAAGAGATTTGAGCCCTATGTTTTAAATATAAATCTTTCCCAAGAATCCATTGGTTTCTGAGAAAAACTAAGTTAGAGAGAGCAAACTTATTTGTCCAAATCAGTGTTTTAGTGACCTAGCATGCAGGTGAGTATTTTGCCCACCAGTGCTATTTTAACATTACCATCATCATAATTTGTCTACATAAATCTTCTAATTCCAAAGATCCTTGTCTGATTTTCTCAGAAACTCTTTCTACAAACTGTTGTTTGATAAGACTCCCTCTGCAGGAGTTATGTATTTATGGCCCTTTCAGAAGAGAGCAATCCTCATGTTAAAAAACAAAAGTCAGCTGAGTAAATTGGAGGACCTAATTGGCTTTATTCAGCTATTCCTGAGTTGGAGACCATCCAATCTAGCAAAGAGAAAGGAGCTTCAAGGAGCTGTTCAAACTGGAGGGCTTGTATAGGCAGAAGGTGTTTGGGAAGACAGGAAGTTTCTAGCAAAGAGTGGAGTATTTTAGCCCGAGTCACCACCCTTTGGGTAAGTGCAGGGGGTCTATCAAGCAGATTATATCACTAGTGCTGACAAGGTAGTTCCAGGTTGACCGATTAAAGGTCACATTCCCGGGACAGGCTAAAACCACTGAAGTCCCCATTTGCTGACATGGGGCTTAGCACAAGTGACTCCGTTTTGGATGTTATTTCTTTTTAACACTCATCAAACACAGGTTCATTCATGATCCAGCTACAGCAGTGTTAACATGTGTGTATTAGTATTAATGGTGTTTGTAACTAACAACTCCTTATTGAACTGAGAAGATCAAGAGACTCAACTTGTAAAGCAATGAGGAAGAGCAGAAGGAATACTCAATTCGGAACTAGAGCCTTGTCTTCATCTTGTTCTAGCTGTGTAACCTTGAGCAGGTTAATCAAAACTCTCTGTCACAGCTTCCCCTGTGAATTAAGATAAGTTATTTCTTCTTCATAGGGTTGTTTTGAGAGAGAGAGAAAGAGAGAGAAGGGGAGGAGAGGGGAAAGAGAAGAAAAGTTTCTATCACAGAGGATGTTCCCTGTGTCTGTCCCTTTGTCTTATGGACACATAACCCACATCACCGAACCAACAAAAAACTCCTCTGTGAGGATATAACAATTTTATCTCAAAGAGTTTTATTTGCAAGGCTTTGCAATTCACAGTTTGATTTAATGTACATTAATTTCCCTCAGGAACCTCCTAGATCAGGATATAAATGAGCTACGAAAGAAAGTGAAGATCTTGCAGGATAAAGAGAATGTACTGGAAACAACCAATTCTCAACAACAACACAGAATTCAGCAACTAGAGGCCCAACTTAAACAACTGGAAAATGAAAAAATAAAATCTGATGAGGTAAGAAAGTAAACGGACATGCTTCTCAGCTTTCCAGTTCCAATAGGAAACAATTAGAAATAGCTAGCAATTATTGATGCCTACCACTTTACCAATTAGTTCAGCCAGGGTTCAGTAAGGAAGGTAGAATTTACTCTAGGTGATTCAAGCAAAAAGGGATTTAATACAGGGAATACCATGCTTATCACACTGTTGGAAGGGAAAGTTAAGGGTAAGTAGAAGGTCAGAAAGAACTGCTGCTGCTTTCAATAAATGCAGAGTTCAGGAACCCCTGGAACCAACTCCTGCAGCACCAAGGTGGGGGATTTACAGGACCTCTTCATAAAGAAGAGGCCCTACGAAGGTCTCCTCTGCTGCCTGTGCATTTATCTGCCTGCTAGTGGGAGAGGAGAGCAGTGCCTTTTCCTCCCACCATGCTTTCCAAACCATGTGCAAGTGCCTCTGGTTTGCAGAAGTCAGACTGGAGCTCTGCTGTCAAGGGAGTCTGGGAAATACAGTTTTCAGGCTCCCAACTTTGCAGCACAGAGGCAAGCTTAGACAAGTAGGGTCCTGTTGAGCAACAGCACAGTCCATTTTACATAAAGTTAACATCCATACAAACCCTTGACTGATACTTAAATAAAATAATAAACAACAAAAGGAATATTATGCTTCCACCTATATGAGACACTGTCATTCATATAAATGAAGACACACTTAACCTCTCAAAGTTTCATCAGTATTGGTGATCATTTGGGGATAATGTTTTTATTTTTTAAAATTCTCACTTGAGGATATTCATTGCTTTTTAGAGAGAGAGGAGAGGAGAGAGAAAAACACCGATAAGGGAGAGAAACATTGATTGCTCACCTCTCGTAGGTGCCCGGAGCAGAGATCGAACACACCAGGACCAGGGATCGAACCCAAAACCTAGGTATGCAACCTGACCAGGAATTAAACCCACAACCTTTTGGTTATGGGCCAATGCTCCAACCAACTGAGCCAAATTGGCCAGGGCTGGGGATAATGTTAATTGCTGCTTTTTCAGTCTCCATCCAAATGGACATACTGTAACTTTACAACTTAATTATAAAGTTAACTATCAGTAACACAATAATACACATTTTGCCATTCCCAAATGTGTGAGAAACCATTCCCACTTCCATCTCTTGGTTTCTTTCCATGTGTTTTGGCTGTGACAGAAATGGCATCATATACTATTAATAACTGGTTAAAAGTTTATACATCATGTGCGCTGGCCAGGTGGCTGAGTTGGTTGGAGCATTGTCCCATGCACCAAAAAGTTGCAGGTTTGATTCCAGGTCAGAGCACATACCTAGGTTGCGGGTTCCATCCCCGGTGGGAGCACATATGAGAGGCAACCGATTGATGTTTCTCATATAAATGTTTCTCTCTCTCCTTCTATTTTTCTCCCCACCCCCTAAAAAAATCAATTTTGTTAAAAAAAAAAAAACACACCCTTGGGTGAGAATTAAAAAAAAAAAGTTGCCTGGTTGGTGTGGCTCAGTGGATTAAGCACCAGCCTGCAAACCAAAAAGTCACTGGTTAAATTCCCAGTCAGGGCACATGCCTGGGTTGCAGGCCAGGTCACCAGTTGGGGGCGCACAGGAGGCAACCGATCAACATCTCTCACACCAATGTTTCTCTCCCTCTCTTTCTCCCTCACTTCCCCTCTCTCTAAAAATAAATAAAATCTTTTAAGAAAGTAGTTTATACATCATGTTACAGGAACCATCTAACGCCAGAAGATATATGGTAAGACCAATGACATATATATATGAGCCTTTGTTTCGCTTAATCTTACTGTAAAATGATATTCTTGTCAGAAACAATGTTGAGTGGTAAGACCACAGATAATAGTTCTGGCAAAAGCATTATGGACAGGGAAAGTAAATCCATATCTAAAATGAGCATTTGTCCTCCACTGAGGACAAATTGTTGTCCTTTCCATGATGGAAGGGGCTTGGGGTAATAAATCTGCCTGTAATAAACCCTTAGTGGATGGTTCCATAACAGTTGCTCAACATGGATCATTGCTTTTCACAAGTTGAGTATATTCCTTGTTAAAGTATAAGACCCCTTGTAAAGTATATTCCTACCACCATGTACTTTGTACATGAGCCCACTGAGCAAGCATACAGGTGCTGATGAAAGAGGCTGACATCTGGAGAGTGTTCCACTTTTTTTGCCTTGTTGTTGAGAGCCTCCTCTCCTGTGGATGCCCCCTGGTAAGCAAAAACACATAAAATGCGTTTTCACAGTCGAGGCTTCTGCTGTCCAATATTGTGTCAACTATATAACCACATGTGGCTATTTAAATTTAAATTAATTAGAATTAAGTAAAATTAAAAATTCAGTTCCTGAGACACACTAGCCGCATTTCAGATGCTCAATAGCCATATATGTGTGGCTAGCAACTACCATACCATATTGGAGAGTCCAGATACAGAACATTTCCGTCATTGCAAAAAATTCTGTTGGGCAACATTTGTAGTTCTAAGCCCCTTTCCTAGACTTTTTCACCAGCCCTCCAACATTATTCTTGGCAAATTCCTGATCATCCGGCCAAACTATTAGAAACTTTCTGTGAATTAATATAGGCCCATGCCTCTGGCCATCCCTCTTTCCAGGCAAAGTGAACACAAGCTTTGCCAACTGAGATTTCCCTTCCCACTGTTCTTACAAGGGCCACCCCTCAATAGGGTTATAATGCTGCATCAGCCCTATTTCAAGTGGTTGCAGCATATTGTACAGAACCATATGTAAATCGGGCCTGAATATGCTCTTCCTCAATACACTGGTCATAGGGAACTCCCCACGAGGCCAAAGGATGGGTTGAGAGAAGTAATAATGTGGTCAAGTTAGTACCACTTGCTCACACCACTTTGTACCTTTAGGACCTACTCAGGTTCTGTATCTTACGTAGCACTTCCACGTGAGGATGGAGTGCTACTGCACATGCCCAGCTTCATGGCTTGGTGAATAACAATGCCTACTTTCAGCTCAGGTTACCTGATCACTTGATTTCTCATGGCTAAGTATTCAGTCTGCACCAGAACCAAGTCACAAGCAAGGACCTTCCTTAAAAGGTGAATAGCTATTATGGGAGGAGGAGTGGCTTCACTCCCAAATCCTAAGATTGAACTGTCACACTAAAGCTTGCCAAAGCCTCCACATAGTGTCCTTTTCCACCAGCAATCCAGTGAGCCACACCAGCCGGGGCAGATAACTCGTCCTGAACTTCCCATCTTTAAGAATCTGTTCACAGGAGCCATTTCTAGAACCAGATACTTTATTAGTCAGGGTTAGGTCAGGAAAACAGCTTTCTCTTTATGTACTTCAAGCAAGAATACTTTTTTATGTAGGGAATTAGATGCTTTCAAAACTACTGGAAAGGCTGGTGGAGCAAAAGTCAAGGAAAAGAGCTGCTAGCTTTCAGGAAATGTGGAGGAGCAGAAATCGCAGGAAGCTCCGTTGGTGTCAGAAGCTGGAGCCACTGTAAGCCTTTTTCAGCAGAAAGGCTTTGTCAGTTTGCATTCCATCAACATCATACCGTTATTCAGCACACAGTATTCTCATTTCAAAAAATGTTTTTCAGAATCTCAAGAGCAACCAGGAATTGTCAGAGAAGGTGTCTGGGTTGCAGCAGGAGAATGAAGCTCTATGTAAAGAATATGGGAAATTTTTGAAGCAGTTTGATGCCTATGTGAGGTAAACAAAAGCAAGTTCTCTTTGGAACGGAAATTTTTGCTTTTCCCCAAGTACACCCTTCTCACTTGCCTTCAGGCTTTTTCCCCCCCTCACTAATTTCCCAGCCTGGACCACCCTCCCCTCATTTCAATTCTTCATTTCAACTCATACTTCTTAGACTAGTAGTCACCTGTCTCTTTCTTGACCCCACCTGCCTGGGCTGGGAAAAGTGTTCATTCTTTGTGTCCCTGTGTCCCTTTGTACATGCCTCTCTGTACTCATTTAAGAACTTGCCATGTTGTTTTGAAATAATGTAATTTACTACCTGTCTCCCTCACCATACCGTAGGCTTTTCAGGGGCATGGGCCACCGTCACTCATCTTTTTATCCATAGTCCCTGGTATATAGTAAGTGCACAGTAAAAATTTGTCTTCCTGAACTTCCTGCTCTTTCATTTCATTTCAATGACTTCCTGGTCATTATTCCACCATACTCCTCCCACTCTCCTCCTCTCTGGAATGTAGCACAGTGGTTCAGCTATGGACTCTGGAGCCATGCTGCCTGGGTACAAATCTTGGTTCTACTAGAAACTAAAAATTGTGTGACCTTGGGTGAGTTATGTCAACTCTCTGCGTCTGAGGTCCCTCATCTCTAAAGTGAGAAAAATAATAATACTTATAAAGTTGTGAGAATTAAATGAATAAATGTATGTTGTAAAGTACCTACTTAGAACAGTGTCTAGCACACAGCTATTATTATATCTATTCATTTTTCCATTTTTTTTCTCCATGACCAACCTCTCTGCTCCCAGCTCTGTAACCTTCTGTTTTATTCCTTTATAGATTGAAGTTTCTTATTCTTTTTTATTCTTACCTACTATGTTGGTGATATTAATGATTATGACTTAAAAACCATTGTTTACTGCTGTGCAGCAGAGAGTATTTTCAGAGTCATTAGTATTCATCATCTTGCTCCGATCATCCTATCACTGAGAAATATGGAAACCATGGTCAAGGGAGTGTCTGTGGTGCAGTTCATGCTGCTGACAAATCTCAGACTAGAACTCAGCCCTCTAATATCCTGTGTGGTGATCTTTCTACATCAGAGGGAGGTGAAAGAATGAAATGCTACATCTAGAGGATATAAAATGCCACAATGCCCGCCAAATGAACTGATACTGAATCTAATATATAATATATAGAATACATAATACTGATATATGTTAGGTCAATATCAGTCTCCAAAGGTAAAATTACATTTGGTTTTTAGGGAGTTACATTTTCTTATTCATTTTACAGATAATGAAACAGCAATGCAAATTTTTGAATACAAAAAAAGTTAACCAGAATCCATTCCATGTTCACTCCTTGTTCTCTGTCAATGAACATAGTTTCATAGTTTTATAATTTTACTATCATAGCTTAGATATAACTTTATATTCTCTTTCTTTTAATATCTTTTCATAAGCACTGTGCCTTGTTGCTACAGTCTTTGAATTTGATTATTTTTATAAAATATAACATGTCATAAAGTTGATACGCCCTTATACTAACAGCACCAGTGAAACTGGGCTTGATAGCTGACAAGGACCAACAGAACCCCAGGGACAGTGTTCACAGGTGTGCAGCTCATTGCAGCAGAAGGACACAGCATGGCAGCAGGGTCAGAGTCGGGACACGCTTCATAGCCCACGGCTGTCTCACAGCAGGCAACCCAGAGCAGTTAGACAGGAACCCCGAGGCCCGCCTTACGGAAAGGCCATGCCTGGACACACCTCCTCTCTCCAGCCAAGAACCACAGACACGCTAAATACCTTACAGCCAAGGATCTCAAAATGGGATCTCAACTGAGGTTTTTAAAAATATTCTGCCGGTCATGTAAGCATACCTCTGCTATGTGACCAGCCTCAAGAGCAGAGCCTCCCTGGGGTCTCACTGAGGCCAGGTGCAAATGATTGATCTCATTGTTATCAATGAACAGTGCTGTCTAGCTGGTGCAAACTGTCATAAAACAACTTGGACCCGTGTCACAAAGCAACACAGTTACAACCAGTATTTTTGTTCCTTGACCAGTGGTCAGTGCCAAGCAAGAACTTTAGCAAAACCGCTCCGGGCAGTTCTAGACCCGCTGGAGTCAACCCTCACAACACAGTCCTAATTTAGTTAAAAATTACTTACTGTTCTATGACTGATATTTTTATTCAAAATAACACAAAAAACATTTTGGTATATATATTTTTCATTTAAAAATTTATTTTTATAGAGTACATTCCCAGGAGTTGAATTAGCAGTCAAAAAGCTGGTATTCTGGACCTTAACCTGAATAGACAAACATTTAGAAGCATCCCATCAAAATTTTCTGCCATTGTTATGTTAAGAGTAGCCATTTCACCACATCCTCATTAGTACTGGGTGCTGCTATTGATGGAATTTTCCCAATAGCCTTTATTTTAATGGAGGTATAACTTCTTATAATAAATGCATGGATTTTAAATGTACAGTCTGATGAGTTTCGACAAATGTGTATACCGACATAACTACAACTTCAGTCACGATACAGAACATTCCCATTATCCCTTCAAGTTCTCTCCTGCCTGCAATGATCTGCATCTCCTGCTCCCCCAACCTCCTCCCAGGCATTCACTCTTCTGATTTCTATCTCTCCTATAACCACGCTGTTGCAAATGGTAGGAGCTTCTTCTTTCTTTCTGCTGCGTAGTATTCCATTGTGTAAATGTACCATAGTTTTTTGTTACACTCATTTACTGATGGGCACTTAAAATTGTTTCCAGCACTTGGCCATTGTAAATAGCACTGCTATGAACATAGGAGTGCATAAGTTCTTTTGAATTGGTGAATTGGTATTCTTAGGGTATATTCTCAGCAGCAGAATTGCTGGATCAAAAAGCAGTTCCATTTTTAGTTTTCTAAGGAAATTCCATACTGTTTTCCACAGTGGCTGCACTCGTCTGCATTCCCACCAACAGTGCACTAGGGTTCCTGTTTCTCCACATCCTTGCCAGAATTTGTTTGTTGATTTATTAATGATGGCCATTCTGACTGGTGTGAGGTAATATCTCATTGTGGTTTTAATTTGCATCTCTCTGATGGCTAATGATGTTGAGCATCTTTTTATATATCCATGAGCCATGTGTATGTCCTCCTTGGAGAAGTGTCTGTTCAGATCCTTTGCCCATTTTTTAACTGGATTGTTTGTCTTTCTCTTGTTGAGTCATATGAGTTCTTTATCTATTTTGGAGATCAAACCCTCATCCAATGTATCATTGACAAATATGTTCTCCCGTACAGTCAGTTCCCTTTTCATGTTGATGATGGTTTCTTTGTGCAGAAGATTTTTAGTTAGATGAAGTCCTATTTGTTTAATTTTCCTTTATTTCCCTTGCCCTAACAAATATGTCAACAAAAATATTACTACATGGGATATCTGAAATTTTCAGATATCTGAAATTTTCAGATATTGTGTGTTTCTGCCTATGTGTTCCTCCAGGACTTTTATGGTGTCCCAACTTATGTTTAAGTCCTTTATCCATTTTGAGTTTATTCTAGTGTATGGTGTAAGTTGGTGATCTAATTTCATTTTTTGCATGTACCAGTCCAGTTCCCTCAACCCCATTTATTGAAGAGGCTATCTTTACCATTATCTTATCCATTGTATGCTCCTGACCCCTTTGTCAAATATGAATTGACCATAGAGACTTGGGTTTATTTCTGTGTTCTCTATCATGTTTCATTGATATATGTGTCTGTTCTTATGCCAGTACCAGACTGTTTTGATTACAGTGGGCTTGTAGTATAGTTTGATATTAGGTATTGTGATCCCTCCTACTTTGTTCTTCTTTCTCAAGATTGCTGAGGCTATTTGTGGTCTTTTTTGGTTCTATATGAATTTTTGAAATATTTGTTCTAGATCTCTGAAATATGCCATGGTATTTTAATAGGAATTGCATTGAATCTGTACATTGCTGTGGGTAGTGTGGACATTTTAATGATGTTGATTCTTCCAGTCCATGAACATGGTATATGCTTCCATTTATTTGTACCTCCCTTAATTTCTTCAGCTTTCTTAATTTCTTCAGCTTTCTATAGTTTTCCAAGTACAGGTCTTTTACCTCCTTGTTTAAAGTTATTCCTAGGTACTTTATTTTTCTAGTTGCTCCTGGGATTATTTTCCTGATTTCTGTTTCTCATATTTTATTATTGGTGTAAAAGAATGCTTTTGATTTCTGAATATTTACTTTATATCCTGCTATTTTGCCAAATTCACTTATTAGGTTGAGTAGTTTTTTGGTGAAGCCTATAGGGTTTTCTATGTACACTAATATGTTGTCTGCGAATAATGACAGTTTTACCTCCTCCTCTCCAATTTGGATGCCTTTTATTTCTTTTTCTTGTCTGATTACTGTGGCTAGAACTTCCAGTGCTATGTTGAACAAGAGTGGCAAAAGCATACACCCTTGTCTTGTTCCTGATCTTAAGGAGAAAACTTCTAGTTTTTGCCCATTGATTATACTGTTGGTTTCAGGTTTCTCATATATGGCTTTTATTATGTTGAGGTATGCTTCCTTTATTCCCATTTTGCTGAGTATGTTTATAATAAATTGGTGCTGGATTTTATCAAATGCTTTTTCAGCATCTATTGATGTGATCTTGTGATTTTTGCCCTTCGTTTTGTTTATGTGGTATTACATTTATTGATTTGTAAATATTGTACCATCTTTGCATCCCTGGGTTAAATCCAATTTGGTCACTGTGTATGATCTTTTTGATGTATTTCTGAATCTGGATTGCCAGTATTTTGTTGAGGATTTTAGCATCTATGTTCACCAAAGATACTGGCCTGTAGTTTTCTTTTGTTGTTGTGTCTTTACCTGTTTTTGGAATTAGGATGATACTGGCCTTGTAAAAAAAGTTTAGGAGTCTTTTCTCTTCTTGAATTTTTTTGGAATAGTTTGAGAAAGATAGGAGTTAGTTCTTCCTTAAATGTTTGGTTAAATCACCTGT